TAATAATCTAAATGCATATATAGAGGTACCAGACATGTTTTGCACTGCAGTGTCCTCTGTGAACAATTATAGGAAAACAGATTGTGTCTAGTTTCCGATAGATGTCAACGCAAACAACAGCTGTGACATCTGATGGAACATGAATGCAGAAGCTTGACAAAATGATCAATTGAAAGTAATTCCGTCTTCTCTTCGAGAAGATCCCCTTCATCATCAACAGAATCACTTTTGATCAGTTTTCATGCTGTTTGTTTAGGCTTGACTCATATACATTTCGTCTTTCGCTGTCAAATGAACTTACTTTCGCATTGAAGCGAAGCTGTTTGCCCATAATTCGCACAGTTTTTCTTGCTTTTGTTGAACCGAGTTATTTAGCGCATGCGCATGCGTGTATGCCAAATTTGTCATTTTCGGGTGGTTTGTTTTGGCTCAAATAAAAAAAAGTGTGACAAAATAGTGTCAGGTTTTGAACGCTTGGTGTTTTGCGTTCAGGCCGCTACCGATGATGAAGTTCCCGCACCTTCGGATGAGTTTTATGATGTCTTTCCGGAGGGCCACTGACGACACGTCCTTGTTGTTGGTTTGCTTGGGGCAGTAGGCCGCGATGGAGGTAATTGGGCCAAGTGCTGTGCTCACCTCCACTCCGATGGCTTCGATTGTTTTCAGCTGGAAGTTTGGTAGCAGCTGACAACTGATGTTCCGTCTTGCAGCGATGGCCACTTCACACCCCCGGAGCAGGTGCGGTCACGTCTGACGAGCCGGAAGTCGGGAAGGAATACGTTCAGTTCAGGATTCAAGTGCGTCTCGGTGATGATAGCAATGTCGATCTCCTTGGTGTTGAGGTAATCGAGTAGCTCTCTTTGCTTGTTCGACAGCAAGAAGGCGTTCCAGTTTGCTAGTTTTATAGGCCGTCGATTCATTGGGTGGAGTGGCTCTGGTTTCAATCTGAGCCTCACCAGTTCATCTTTTACTGCAGCCGCTTCGTACGACGGCCCCGTATAACAATTTTCAATGGTTTCACCGAAAGCAAATCGTGGGTGTAAAACTCCACCGTATTGTTCTTCAGTAGGTCACCGACCGACTTCTACTGCTGTAGGCTGGAGCAAATGATCTTTGTTCCTACGCTACAGATCTTGAATCGCGGAAACAATTTGAGTTTTGCCAGCTCATCCCTAAGCTTGTCGACGTCCTTCATCGGGGTAAACAGCGGGGTAATCCGCTCCTTTTTGGCAATTTCAGTGACGTCACCACCGCCATTTTTAACTCCGAGCACCGATAATTGGTTGCTTTGTAGCAGCCGATTAGCTGCGTCATCCGAAGCAGCGCTGGCTTCCTTTTGGGCCTTTTTACTAGGGCCCTCCGATGCAGGAGTAGTAGAACGCTTGCATACCATGCTTTGTTTAGTGGCAAGTGCATTTAGACTTGCCAATGTGCCTGTCGATGACGGCACTTCCACAACGTGAACGTAACAATAACATGAATTAGAAGAAACTCGATAGCGGAGCGAGCGAGCGAACGAACGAACTATACTGCTAGACGGTCTAGCAACCAATGACCATGAGCGGAGGAACGACAGCAGAGGTCTTATACATACATTTGTACATTTTTCAACGATTTTAGTTGAGAAAATTGGAAAAGCATTCATTGAAGCAGATTGTGAGATTTATTTCCTATCGAATTGTGTATTTTTATTTTATTTTCATCTATAAATGACAAAGTTATAAGCGTTCAAAACCTTACACCTTTTCGTGACGGTCGCAATTTAAGATTTTCGATTTACCCCCAGTACCTTCCCGTAAGACGTAATCTACGTAAAAAAAGAACCAATGAGTTGGACGGGTCAGAGAGCTGCCATCCTAAACAACTCCCTGTGGATGATTCGAATCCGGAGCTGAGCTGCACCATCATCATCATCATGCATTTCGCTTTTCCAAATAACTGAATCTTCCGTTCCAGTACAGAATGATGGGAGGAGAGGTGAGAACAAATATGCAGGAGGAATATCAGCAGCAGATGTAAATGTATTGGATAATACCAGTAGCGCATCTTGGTTTACGCGGTCCAATGCGAAAGTTCCGCTGGTGACGGATTGAATGGTATATGGGGTGTTTACAACTGTGCGAAGAAGAGCAGCTCAGGAGCGGATCGCACATTTCTAGCTACTAGGGGATCATATGCCATGCGCACATGGCATCTCACTCAAAGCAGGATGTGAATAAGTTTAGTATTACCACCAGCCTCTGACACAATCAGTTGCTTGTCGATATGGCATGGCCGTTTCGTAACAAGCCTTGGCTTTATGTCCGGAGTCCTCCCTTCTTTTGTAGCCCTTCGCCAACTTCCCGTGTGGGGTTGTCGGAAATGTCAATCAAAATTAGTAATTTCCAGAATGGCTGTGTGTGTATGCTGAAGTATCCACTTTCGTTGTCGATATTCCAGATCGATTTATCACCATCCGTAATAAACTGTTTAAAGGAAATGTGTTTGATCATAAAATAGAAATACATATTAACACTTACCGGTATTTTATCATAAAGTTGTAGCTCTAACCTCATTAATGGGTAATATCTTTCACCGACGCTTAATAATGTTTGAATCGCAAAAAATATTAACTAAGCGAGGGATAAAACAACATTATATCCAATGCAAACTGGTTTTTGTTTTTATTTACATTATCTGATAACATAGAGCTGCCAGATTGATACGGTGTCGAAAGCAAACATTAACTTGCAAGGTAACTACTTTGTTGTTAAAATGTATTTTAACCTTAAAACGAAGGAAGTCATCTTGCCGCAACGGTGCATGTATCAAGACATCTTCTATCAGTTAAATTGTGAAATTCCAAGGAGATGTCACATGCAAACTATCGTTGCGTTGCTATTTTTCCCTAATAAAAAATATCATAAACGAATGATAACTCAAATGATTGAACTATTCCACAAATGGTTTGGATGATACCCGGAACATGTCGTTAAGTAAAATAACCATAAGAGTTTTATTATGGTGACAAGTAGCACAAAACAGAGGTGGAAGTTTTAACGAATCGTTGTATCAAGCGATGCTGGTGGATGCACTTCACATGGGTTTTCTATGGGCACGCAAATAATCAAAACATGCTACCCATGTAAACTGCACGTAAAGCTTGCCTTCTACCGCTAGACTCATTTAAGATTATAACCGAACTTGAGTCATGGCGACTTTTCCAAGAAGATTTCTTTTTCAAAGTAGGTACTCATCTTCTGAGTGCCGGAGTCGGGTCGGAGTCAGAAGCAGTTGTTCCAGAGATTATCTAAAAAATTACGCCTATACCCTACGAAAATTCCCGTTGGATTCCGGCCCAAAACAAAAAGAAAGCATTTTACACTGCATTTTCAAACTTTGCCGTTCTGCAGAAGTGCAATGAATGAGCTCTAGGGCTTCGTCTATCCTATTGCAGCTAGTGTGCGCGCCATCAGTCTTTGCGCTAGAGAGCATAATGACGATGATGAAAAAAGAGTTTACCGAGTGGAAGCAATTTTCACTCCGCCCAAAACGGCATGTTCTCAGCATCGTCGCCGCCCGAAGCAGAAAGAGTTGCGAAAGTTCGTTTGTTTGAATTATAATTTCACCGAGTGATGAGTGCGCACGGTGGTGGCAAGTTTCCATCACTTCTTTCTCCGCGAGTTGTTGAACCAATGTTTTTGATGGAAGGATTAATTGCTACGGGGTGGCGTGGAAGGCACTGACACTGGGTGCAACTGGAGTTTGATTGAGTGGGGTGCTATGCTTCGGGAGGGGAACTTTTCAAAAATTCCGATGGGAACTTGAATGATAGTGTCAGACAGGTACCAGCCGAAAATATCTTGATAATTTTGGATTTATCATAGATAAATTATACTGATTTTCGATTGATGATTATCTGCGGATAGACTATTATTTTAAACTTATGTTGAAACAAATTATTTGAGATTTTGCCTGAATTCATTTGGCACAATCAACTACAATGTAAAATCATTAAATAATCGGGAAAGAAAACTTCACATCTTTGAGTCTTTAATCAATTGTCGATTTCAGCCAAAATCAAGACCTTTTACATCTTGACGTTACATCGCTTTTTGCCTGTTCTTTGACTGGTTATGAACTGTAATTGAAAAAAAAAATAATAAAAATAACCTCTAAAATATTAGTTCCGATAATAATTGATAAAGAATTTTTGATTTGAGTAGCTCAAAGCATTTTGATGAGTAGTTGAGTAATGCAAAGCGTTGTAAGACCACGTACCATGGTCACTCACCAAATGATTTTGAGCCACTCATAATCATAAACTCTCGATTACTTTTTCGATGGGACGTATCAGCTTTTGTAAACAATGCATTTGATCGTCATTTGGCGTAACTGGTAGCTCGCCCACGCATACTAACACCCCTATCAGATAGGGTAAAATTTCCCCTATCTGATAGTAGTGTTAGTATGCCTGGGTGAGATACTAGTTACGCCAAATGGACGATCGAATGCATTATTTACAAAAGCTTATACGTCCCTTTGAAAAAGTAGGCGAAAACTCTCGATCAATTCTTATATAACATTTATCGCAGTTTCCAAAACTGCAATAATATTTCTCGATAACTGTTTAAATGGGACGAATCCGCTTTACAAACAAAGATTCAAACGTCAATTTGTCGAAACTCTTAGCAGTCACACACAATGTAGCAACACCATCTAGTTGGGCAAATATTACCCTTTCTGATTATGGTGTGAGTTTGCGTTCGAGTGCTAAAATTTTCGACAAATTGACTGTTGAATCTTTTTTTAGCATTTAAAAAGTAATTGTAAGTTATTTTCATTCAGTAACAGAACAAAAACTCTTTACAAACAGGCAAAAAACGTTGATACATGTGTCTTTTACATATTCTTCTGAAATTCTACTGGAACGTGTTATAACTTTTTTCCAATAATAACAAAAAACAATGTTCCTACCGATGTCATCTAACTCATTCCATTTCTTCCTATGCTCGTTCCAGATTTTTACATCGAAAGCAGATCTCCAGTTGCACACGCAGATTCACATGCGCGAGGCAAAACCCTACAAATGTTCCCAATGCAATAAGGCATTCGCCAACTCGAGCTATCTTTCACAGCACACTCGGATACACCTGGGCATCAAGCCGTACCGGTGCGAGATTTGCCAGCGAAAATTTACCCAACTGTCCCACCTGCAGCAGCACATCCGGACCCATACCGGTGATAAACCGTACAAGTGTCGACATCAGGGTTGTATGAAAGCATTTTCGCAACTATCGAACCTACAATCGCACTCCCGCTGCCACCAAACGGACAAACCGTTCAAGTGTAACTCGTGCTACAAATGTTTCTCCGACGAACCCTCGCTGCTGGAGCATATCCCCAAGCACAAGGAATCGAAACATCTGAAAACCCACATTTGCCAGTACTGCGGCAAATCGTACACCCAGGAAACCTACCTTTCCAAGCACATGCAGAAACACTCGGAGCGAACAGACAAGCGACCACCGATCGGAGCACGTAGCAGTAGTAGCACGTTGAATCTCAATACCAATACGACCGTCCCTCCTGCTATAACCGGGGGCGAGAATCCATACTGGCCTAAGGTAAGCCCCGATTCGGCAGCCAACATGACGGATGTTATGCAGCAACAGCAACAACATCAACCACCACCGACGAATCAGCAGCCTCCGCACCAACCCCAGCAATCAAATCAGCAGAGCCATCATGATTTCAACCTGAATCCGCAGAACAATGCTCCCAATCAGACTCCGAATGGACTCAACAATGTTCCAGGAGACCTGCACCATCATCGCGATGAGAACGTTGAAGATCTTGCTGTGAGCGCCCGTCAAGGTGCACCGAATATGAACGGTCCCAACGGGAACATCCCGATTCCACCTTCTTCGACGCCGATGTCCGCTGCCGGGTACGATTCCAGTAGCATAGCGAAGGTGGCATCCAATTCGGCCTTCACACCGATCAACTCGATGCCACCACATTTGAACACCCTGCAGCATCACCACCATCAGCTGGCACAGCGACCATATCTGTACGATGCGATCAGCTTCCAGAACCAGAAAGCGATCAATCAGAGCCCATCGAATTCGTTCCCGAATCAGCTGATTTCGCTGCACCAGATTCGGAACTACGCGCATCAACCCGGCGGAGGACTGATGGCCGGGGAACATTTGCTCGGGGTGACCGTTGGGGCGGGTGGTAAAGATAAGGGGTAAGAGGGGACGGGAGGGTGGTATGGTTTTTGAATCGGGTGATGATTGTTGGCAGGGTGGAATGGACTTTCCGGTGGCTATAGAGTTCCCAAACAGGTACGAAGAACAACTGGAATTTTTTGAAGTAGGATAAATGATAGCTGCGGCACCTATTGACTGTTTTCGGCAACCATAATTCAAACGATAGTTTCGCTGTATATTCGCACCAAAACACACCGCTGAATGTATTTAAACGATTCCTTAAGTGCACCCCACACGACAGAAGTTTCCTCAATGTTTCCATCAATATTTATGTTTCCATCAATATTGCTTACTACAATATTTTCGGGGGTTCATCAATACAGGATCGCTCCTCTCTAACATTGATGTATCCGATGGAATATTCTGAGTCAAATCACAACCACCTTGACAAAAGTTGCCAAGAAACAGGCACCATCTGCTGCTGCTGTAGTCAAACAGAAGAGGAAAATGAGGCGAAATAATGAAAAATTAAATACAACTTTTCTGATTTTTGTCAATATGTTCATCGATATTTTCGTCGTCAATATTTGCATCAATATGATTGTCAATAATTTTGAGAATTGACAATATTTTTGCCCGTGTGGTGCTTGCTTCAGTCTTTCAGCTTCAACCTGATTTTATTATTACAGCTGATCAAACCTGTTATGCCAGGTTTTTCTTCAAATGAAACACCCGCACTACAAAATACGGCTGTTGTCGACTTGCCGATAATAGAACAGCTGGATAACAACGCAGGTTGTCGATAATAGTCGCACTCACCTGAGAGATTTGGAGCGTTGTGAAAACGTTTTCAAACCGTTTTGGACAATTTTCGGCCAACAAATAAAAAGGGTCTATCGAGTAAACAATACTTTGTAAACCCTTTCCTCGCAAACTGTAGGCTGCCCACGCAAACCAACAGCATCATCAGATAGGGGAAACTTTCCCCTACACGACGATGGCATTGATTTGCGTGGGCGGCCTTTGGTTTGCGAAGAAAGGGCTTACAAGTTTTGTTTACAAAAGCTGATAGACTATTTTCAATTGTTGGTCGAGAATTCTGTCGATTGGAATAGATAGAACAGCAAATGTAAACAAATAAACACGTCATATGTGTGCGTGAAGCTGAGAAATTACTAAAAGAACTGCGCTACTTAGAGTTATGAGAATACGTAAGTTCTTCTAATCAGTGGAAATCTATTATAATATATGGATAATTTCATAAAGTGCATCAAAAGATGTTAACACTCCGAACACGGTGGGTAAAAAACTTTACGCGGAAAACGAAGTCTCCAAAAAAACGTGTAACGGCAAGTTTCCCGAGCAAAGTGTGAGCCACTCAGGTTGCTGTCGTTTTGGTCGTTTTAACGGTTAAAATATCAAAATTCAGAGCAAAAAAATGTTCCTGTGACATCACATTGAAAACTATTTCTGCTATCAGTGAGAGCAAACTGAAAACTCAATTTGATATCAATTTTTCCTGTTGATAACAAAACAAGTAATAAATTTGATGTTAGGCTAAGGCAATGAAAACAAACCCGCAACAACATATTTTTGTAGAGCAAATGTACAGCAAAATGAAAACGAAATTTATCAATTGCATAAACTGAAATCAAATTAGGATTTCAGTTTGATGTTGATATCAAAACTTGATTTCAATTTGCTGTCATTTTGATGCTGGACTTTGCTCGGGTTGCAATGACATAGCTCTTGATGAATTAAAAAAAATGTTGTAGTGTTAAATACCCCATTTCCGGCCTAATAAGCACAACCCGCACTTAGTCTTTCTTAATATAGCGCAGTTTAGCACCAAACGGAATGTTATTATCACTGATGGCTTCGAAATTTATTTACTTTTCCGTACGTACCGTAAGATTTGATAAAGAGAAACCAATCGTTGAGATATTGTCAAAAGTCAACACTACTTCTTGACGCCAAACTCGGCCTAACGTATTGAAACGCCATTGAAACGCCAATGAATTCACTTCGGCCTGTCGGATGAAGATAAAAATTGATTCAGTCGGAGCGCTTGTTTTGTTTTTGGGAATAATGGGTGCAAACTTTCATACCACGCGTTCTCACTGACTTCGTTCGGTAGCTGATTAACTAAAGTATCGTACCAAACGGATAATTGACTTGTTAACTCTGAAATCATGGATTTATTTGAAGTTTTCTCCTCAATAGGCCTAAAATGGGTGATCAGGCCGAAGTAGTTCTCTACCATACCACTAGAATTCCTAGGGTTTGTAGATTATTTACATTGCAAATAGATTGAAAATAGTGTCTTTTACTTTTTGTTAAAACGAAAAGAGTCGTTTTTTATGGAGTGTTTATGGATTTTGCAAGTGGCTTAAGATCTATAATGGTAATGCGCACAAATGTTCATAATTAGCCAGAATACAGTCATGGTTTCCATATACAAACCCTGGAGACAACGAAATGGTCCTCCGGAAGATCCAAAATATCCGTAAAAGTGTTCGAAACTTGGAACTGTGATATAAAAATGAATTTGGGGTCGTGACAAAAACATGTAACTAGATGACCATGTGACCGTCCTCCAAAAGATCCGAAACATCCATAAAAGTGGTCAATCCATGAAACTGATCCTAGAACTCCGCGGTTTAAAAAAATACTTGGAACTGTGACATAAGAATGAATTTGGGACCGTGACATGAACATGGCCTCGGATGGCCATGGAACCGTTCTCCTAAAGATCCGGAACATCTGTAAAAGTGGGCATTTCATGAAACTAATCGTAGAGCTCCATTGTTTTTTTCAAAAACACTCAGAACTGTGATATAAGAAAGAATTTAGGGTCATGGCATAAACATGGTTCCGTATGGCCAAGGGACCGTTCACCGGAAGATACGGAGCAACCATAATTTATTTTTTTCAAACTCTTGGAACAGTGATATAAGAAAAAAATGGAGTCGTGACATAAACATGGACCCGTATGGCATCTCGGGGCATCCTCTGGGAGATCCGAAACATCCGTAAAAGTGTCAAATTATGCTTCCCATTTTTTTCAAAAGCATTAGGAACTACTGTGATATGAGCATGAATTTGGGGTCATAACATAATCATGAACTCGGATGACCGTCTTCCGGAAGATCTGGAACATCCGTAAAAGTGGTCAGTTTTTTAAACTGATCCTAGAGCTTCGTGGCTTATTAGAAAAAAATTGAAGCTACGACAACTACTTGCTGGTAAATAAATTATAAAATAGTTGTTTTAAAGTATTTGTTGTTTTTATATAGTACTATTTGTTGTTTCTATGGAGTTTTTGTGTTTGTTACTATTTTAACGGGAAAAAACTGGCACGAACATCAATCGTAAGGTAAAAATTTTTACATCCTCTGAAAATTTTCTAACAAGAATCGTAACGCCAGTTTTTTTTTCAGAATGAATACAGTAATGACCCGATTATTCCAGACCCTTTTTTGAAAATCTTTTCTAATATTTTACGAAGCCCATGCGGTTTTTCAGTAGTCTTATTGTACCAAAGTATAACTTAAACGTCCATCGTAGATTAGTTTTCCGTCGATTTTGTATTCCGTAGTGAGTACCCATGCTACATATCGACCCATCAACTCATGAACCGGGGACCAACGGCTTTATTTCCCTTAGGAAGGCGTGATCATAGATTTCATGCCTCAGAAAATCCAGCTTGTAGATGGATGAGACAGATTTGGAATTACTGTTATTTGAAATTTTTTAAAGTTAAAAGTTTGATGACAAAATCGGGCCTATACTTTATTTTCAAATTAATTCATCACGTTATAATTTTCTTGCTGCGATGCATGTGGAAAAACATTTTTTTTTTTTTCATAAATTGTAGCTATACAAAATTTAAAAAAATATTTCAAAAATCTTCCGGCGACCTCATCATGTGATGAAATATTGCAAATTCTGTGTAAGTTTAAAGCACATCTGTAGTAGAACCTTACATTTATCGGTTGGGTGATATGGTTTAAATGACAGAAGAACTCTAGTATCAGTTTCATGGAATGAGCACTCTTACGGATGAGCCAAACCGTTTTCAAAGCCATTTGGATCCATGATTATGTGATGACTTCAAATTCATTCTTATATCACAGTTCCAAGCGTTTTCAAAAAAAAACCACGGGGTTCTAGGATCAGTATTGTGGATTGATTAGTTTTTGGGATTTTCCGGATCTTCCGAAGAACGATTCCATGGCCATCCGGATCTATTTTTATGTAATGACCCCACATTAATTCTTAAATCACAGTTCCAAGTTTCGGATCTTTTCGAGGACGGTCCTGTGGCCATCCAGATCCATGTTTATGACATAACCCCAAATTAATTATGATACCCATCACAGTTATAGATGTTTAAGAAAAAACACGGAGATCTAGAATCAGTTTCGTGGATTGATCACTTTTCGGATGTTCCGGATCTTTCAGAGGATAGTCACATGGCCAACCAGGTCCATGTTTATGTCACGACCCTCAATTCTTTCTTTCATCACAGTTCCTAATGTTTAAAAAAATTAATGATGTTCCGGATCTTCCGGACGACCCTTCCGTTGTCTTCAGTGTCCATAATATAGTATATAGGAACCATGACTGTATTCTAGCTAATTATGAACATTTGTGCTCATTAATCAAAATTATAGATTTTAAGCCACTTGTAGGGGGCGACCCCGGCGTAGAGGTTAGCATCCATACCTCTCACGCCAAAGTCACGAGTTTAAATTTCACGCCCATACAGGTCACGAATGACCCAAGAGCGTTAAAATGACTAGAATAATAAAAAAGCCCATAAAAACGTGTAACGACTCTTTTCGGTTTACACAAAGTAGACGATCTATTTTTACGAAAAGAGCAAAACAACCCTGAATTGAGTTCTATTCACCCAACTCGACAGTGTTCCGTGCGCCAAGTTAAAATTGAGCAAGTTGTGTAAACTCAATTTTGAGTAGTTTGCCGTTACACGTCTTTTGGAGTGATAATAAAATTACCAGATACCTAGTTTTATGACTGAGATATTT